AATATTTATGAAACAAATATAATTTAAATATTTGTTCTGATGCTCTGGAAGAGCTAAAGAGATGCTCTATGTGTATATAATACACGCTTTAGAGAGTTGAATTTACTATACTACAAATAATCAATACAGGTCAAGAAAAATGGGAGCACGTAATGGCAGAAAAACTTGCTTTTTAACTTCTTTTTCTGTAGACCATTTTAGTATAAGAGGAATGAAAAATGTATTATGTTTTTAAGTTTTTTTCTGTAGACCACTTTAGTATAAGAGGAATGAAAAATGTATTATGGAAGCAGTCTCAAAAAGGTGATTCCAAGTTCCATACAACTACTCAAGTAATCTAGTGTGCATACAGGATAGCTTGACAAATTTCATTCTGTGGGTACGGCCATCTGGATGACTTCAGTGGTGATTTGCTGGCATCAGCAGTGGCTGAATGTGCAGGTTTCTGTGTTTTGGTCTGGAATAACACTTGAGCAGTCAGGAGGGATGCCATTATCCACTCCGGATAGATAGTACAGCTGGACCAGGAGTTTTCTTGCAAGGTTGTGTTTTTCTCTTGCCATCACTTCTTTTATTTTTTATTCCAATGGCACACAGCATCAGAACTCACTGAAAATCTCCACAAGTTGGAGGATTTTAGCGTCACTCCTGACCCTGCCCTTCCTACGGGAAGCCAAGAGTAGGATGTGGGGTTATGAAGTGTTTTTTCCAGTTGCACAACATGCGCTGGCTGCACCTTTATTTATCATGGTGATGGCCTCACAACAGAGACTCGTGTCCCCGTCCGGACCGTGCTGTCCCGCTCCCAGCTCAGTTAAAACACAGTGATGCTTTTTTCTTTCTCATTTGACCAGCGATGGTGACTCCTTTACGCTTCCTTGGCACCTCCTGCCATGGTGCATGGGGTCTGAGTTTCTGGTGTTGTTTCAGGGCACCTGAAGTGTAGGTCAGAACCGTCGCTGATATTTTCGAGGGGAGTTTTTTGCATTTTTATGTTCCCTCCTTTTTTAGGAGGGATTCTGACTTTGTCAAAAAAGGATTCTGATCCTTTTTTAGGGTTTCTGACTCTTAAATGTCGAAGGAGTGTGTGATCACAGCCAGCATTCCCATAGTGCTGATTGTCAGTTGTGTTACTTACAGGAAAATTTATCGATGTTCTGTTATTCATAATCATTCTCAATTTTATCATCAAAGTACTTGTTTTCTTGGACGGGGGCAGGAGAAATTTACTTTATTTTTTTAATGCAGAAATAGGAGTTGGGTTCCTGTTTTTTATACTTAAACTGGGAAGGATGATGGACTAAGGAGTTTCATTCATTCATTTGTCATATCTCTTTGTGGATTTGTGCTAAATGTGAGCTCTGGGCTTTTTCAGATAACACATTTGTTAACATAACAAGCAAAACCTGCATTTGTTAGAGGGCAACTGAAAACCAAAAATGGACACTTTTGTTCTCCTGGCTGGCTGTCCTGTGAAATTTAAGAATTGCAAGTGTTCAGAGGGAACCCATGAATCTCTTCTCCGTAGCGTTACAATGAGAGTTTTCCAGAGCTCGATTCCATTCCTCCCCCCTTGCCGCAGTGTCCCCAGGCACACCTCAGCTTCTCCTGGAGTCTTCCAGAACCTGTTTGTCCAGGCTGGAAACGCAGCCTTCCTTGCACAAAAGGGAGAACTGCTTTGGCCAAAAACCTGACTGGGGGGGTATGGGGATCCGCATGCCCTCGCTGTTGTGTTGGATTCCCACTAAAAATCAACCCAAACCACTTGCAACCTGAACCCAAGGCCTCTTTTGTCTTTGGTGACAGTTCTGCTGTGTGGTTCCTCAGTGCAGGGTGTTTCAAAGCAAGTGGATTGGGCATGTTCATGGACATACGAAACGGTGGGGAGAAAGGGAACAAGGAAGAAGAAGGAATGCTGAGGACGTGGTGATCCAAACTGGCTAACATAAGAAACTGTTTATAAAGTTAAATAGGGGACTAGAACATCTCTCTGATGAGGAAAGGCTGAGGGACTTGGGTCTTTTTAGTCTGGAGAGGAGAAGACTGAGGAAGGATCTGATCAATGCTTATAAATACTCAAAGGGTGGGTGTCAGGAGGATGGGGCCGGTCTTTTTTCAGTGGTGCCCAGTGACAGGACAAGGAGCAATGGGCACAAACTTGAACATAAGGAGGAACTTCTTTACTTTGAGGGTGGCAGAGCCCTGGAAGAGGCTGCCCAGGGAGGTGGTGGAGTCTCTGTCTCTGGGGACATTCAAACCCCACCTGGACACGTTCCTGTGCAACCTGCTCTGGGTGGACCTGCTCTGGCAGGGGCTTGCACTAGATGATCTCCAGAGGTCCCTTCCAACCCCTACAGTTCTGTGATTCTGTGTGGTTCAGTGTTGAAGGGAGCAATGTGGATCAGGAAGAACAGTTGTGATGACAGCACCTTTCCTAAATCTGAACTCCCTGCCTCAGAGCTGCTGATGGTGAGGGAAAAATAAAAGGGACGCCGCATTTATTCCTTTCCTGGGGGCTGCACCAAGATGACTGCACTGTTAAGAGACACACACACACACAAGTCCTCCCTGGTTAGCAGACCTGACTACAGGGGAAAAAAACAACAAAGGACCAACTTGAAATGCTAACTCCCCACAGGAGCAGCAGAGGTTTTCTGAAGTGTAAGAATAAAAGACAAATCATCACAGCATAGATTATGCTGTGGTTCTTCAAGAGGGGCCAGTGTTTCCATTAAAAAAACCCCACTATTAAGCTTGCCAAAAGTTTCACTTCAGATATAAACTGAATTGTTTGAAAAAGCAGTCCAACCTGATTTCTCTTTGGTTTTGGGCTGCTGCTTTTGTATTTCTTACCAGGGTTTAAGTTGCAGAGGCAGGTTTCCGGGGTCGCCAAGAGGGTTCAAAACAAGGGCAGCCTCAAGGGTCTGAAAGTGAAGACAAGGGAGGGGAAGCCCGTGGTCGGACTCGGAGCAGAGGGTTCATGGAGGGTGGGGGCAGTGGGACAGTCTCTGTGTGGAAGGCAAGGATTTATTATTGTGGATTACTCCAGGAGATTGGAGGGTTTGTGCCTGAGTGGAGCAATTCAAAACACTGCAGACCCCTAAAATGCCAGGAGAGAGAGGAGCTGGCAGCTGATCCCTTTGGGCAGATTTGTTGTACACCCAGGTGGAGCAGAGCACCCATGGCCAAGAGCCTCCTCATGTCAGGGCTTCCTTAGGTGCCACTGGCCCACCCAGCTCCTAAACCCTTCGGCAGCGCTGGAAGTGAGTGAATCTCCTTTTTATAGCGGTGGGAGCCGTGCCTGTAGGTGGGGTGGGTGGCCGGGGACTCTCGGGTTGCACCCCCTGGGTCAGGGGAGACTGTGCCCAGCAGCTGGTGAGCGACGAGGTGCTTCTTCCGACTGTCGAATCCTGGGTTCCCCTCCCTCCTGGGCAGCCTCCTCGGCTCCGCTCCCCCGGCAGAGACACTTGGCTCCGACGTGGCCTTGCATTGTTGCTCGCTGAGCACACCTCAAATTTATTTTCCGGCAAATGCACTTCTCTGGCATTAAGTGTGCGTCCCTCCAGATCCCGGGAGAGATGGCTGTGGGTTCAGGGTTACACTGGTAGAAAGTAAACTGGCAAACGGTTGTTGGTCCTGGGGTCCCGAAGCTCCCAGACAGCCTGCGTGGAGCAGAGGAATGTGCTTTCCCGGTAGGGGGAATTTAACATGACTCATCTGTCGGCGGCGGTGGATCCTGGTGCAGACCTTGGCATGAGATCATCCTTGTCCTGCAACTGGAAAAGCCAACTGCAAATTACTTCTCCGTGCGAACTTTCTAGGCCTGACTCTCCTCTGTGCCCCTTTTGGATTTTTTCCTTTGTTTGTAAAGGGATTTTTAATGAGAAAAATAAAGTGCAACATTGGGGCCTCTGACTTGGAGCTTGTTCCTTTTAGTACTAGTTACCTAAATAATAGCCTTCGTTCTCTGCAGTTTCACTGCTCACAGGAATTCTCAGAAATTAATTTTTAAGGGAATACTGTCTCAAAATCTGGTTAGTAAAATAGTTCATTCTTAATGAATTAGTATATTAATGTGTACAGAGGCGACATTGAATATTTTTGCAGCTTAAACACCTCTTTAAAAATAGGGTTTCCAACACTTGCACCATATGTCCCCTTATTAAATTCTCCTCTTACTGAATAATGACATTACCCTCTGAATGACAGAGGTGCTTGTTATATGATCTGACTTAGAGATACATCTGGAACTTGGCCCTCGCGGGGCCTCAAAATAGAATGACCGATGCAGGAAGAACTTACTAGAGGACTTGTGAGGGCTCTTAGTACAAACCACCCTTCCACCCTTGCCAGAGCTTTGACATTGTCCAGTGAGCATATTCAGACAACGCAGGGATTTATTTTATCTTGCTTTTCAGCATTTTCCTCTTCGTTACGCTATCCTGTCTTCCCTTCTCCTCTCCTTCAGTATTTACTGACCTGGATCCTCCCGTAGCTGGAAGTGAATGTATCCTTCAGTATGTGGCATTAGATATGTGACTTTAGATAACCAGTGGGAAGAACACCACCAGCAAATATCATGCTTCTGATGGGACTTGGCTTCCTTGAAAGTTTCTTGTCAGACGGTATCTATAGCACGGGGTGGGTTCTGAGAGGTGCTAAGGAGGTCTCTGGTCCCACAGGCCAGAAGTTGGAGGAGCTCTGTCTGAAGGGGTTGGGCTGGTGGCTAAAAGCAAGTGATGTATGTTGAGTAGCTAATTCTGGTGTAATTAGGCAGGTTTTTTAAAGGCCAAGTTGGTATTTATGAGAAGTGGGGGTGAAAGACATGTACATAAGCGAATTTTTTAGCTTATTCTCCTCCCTGCGCAAACCCAAGTGGGTCAGAACTTCCCACATGTAGCTGATACCACTTTTGGGATAGACCTTTAGGGCAGCTTCTTCTTACCAGCTGTGTTGAGCTGAGCTACCAGCAAATGCTATGTGATGTTTTTAACTTCCAGGATGGCCAGTCATCAGCAAACGGTCCGTCCCGCGACAGCCCCAAGCAGCCACCGGCAAGAGAAGGAAACGTGGTGTACCCCAAGCTGCGGGCTGGCTACATCCCTATTCCTGTCATCCACGAGGGCATCGACGGCAGACAGCAGCACCCCTGCTTCTCTGCCCCACAGCCCGGCCTGCAGCGGTACAAGACCGAGGCCGTGCCCACCACCGTGCAGGCTCAGCCACCTCTAAGAGGGGCCTATGGCGGCCCCGAGTCCCCTCCAAGGGGACCGACGGAGGCTTCTCAGACGGATAAACAATGTGGACAGACAACGGCAGCTGCAGCAGCCCAAGCGCCGGCCACGCACGGACCCGAGGTAACGTGTCCGGGATTGCTGGGGTGTGTTTGCATTGGTCTTTGCAGCAGTTATGACCTGAATGTCACATGGGTAGTTTATCCTTCAGAAAGCCAAACTTGCCACAGGATTACATTTTCCCAATAGTCCCAGAGTGCTAAAACGCCGAAAGTGCAGAGTCACGGCAGCGTAAATGTGTCGGGTTTTTCCAGCATCGCCCGCTTTCGTTCTGGAATGATTCTGCAGAAACAAGTGCAGGGAAATGGCTTCTGCTAAAAGGCAGCTTCTGAGCCACACAGGTTCTGCAGCAGGGGAGGACTGGTTTGGGGTTCATACCGGTTCCCCCACAAATGGAGGATACAGACAGCTCTTTTCTGTTCTGCACTGTGAGTCAGAAACCAAAGAGAACACAGTGGGAGAGAAAAAAATGAAGTGGCCAGTTAGGTAACAACCCAGAAGCTCTACTGCTGTGATCTTTGCTTTCCAGTTTAATCCTTCAGTTGGATTACATGTATAGATGCACATATATACAGCTTTAAAAGTGAATGGTAAAGTGTTTTTGTCATTCAAATACTTTCAAACTATGAGCACGTTTAAAAAAAAAACACCCCACTGCTTGCTTAGTGCTTGAGAAGGTGGGATTTTGCTTTCCCTGCTCTCTCTAGAGAATTAGCAGAATTAGTATTCTTGTAGAATATGGAAATATCAACCTCATTTTTATTCAAAGTAAGATGAGCAGGAAATTCAGCCTTCACCAAGCTGAGACTATGTCACCAGGTCTGTAATTCAGCAGTGGTGGCTTTTCCTCTGAAACCTGTTTGAAGTCTGAACAATATAATTACAATTCTGGTAGCAGGTTTCTCGGCTGTCTTGACTAACAATGTCTTGTCCGTGCAGTATCAGGACAAGAGGCTCAGCTTGTCCCTCTCCCAGCACGGTACAGCTTTGTCCTGTACACACAGTGGCTTTGGGGACATCTTCTGTGCCTCTTACTGCAGTCCTCTGAGATTAACTGCTGAGGACCTCAAAACTTGCTGTTTCAAACTTAGTGCAGTGTGGGTAGCAACTGACCAGAGCCTGTGACTCTGCCTTTAAACCCCTTGTCACCACCAAGGCCACCAGCAGTGGCAGTGATGGGTACCATAATGCCACTACAAACCAGCATTTATTTATTTATTCAAGGTTGCTGTTTCATGGGCAGCTGAGCAGTTCACTGGCACCAAAATAGGGGTCTTGTTCCCCTTCCTCTCCTGCCTTGCCTGCCCTTCTTGTCTTCTGGCTGTGTTGTCCTCCCCTTTCCTCTTCCAGCTCCAGTCTGACCCAGCCTTTCACCAACCTGTGTAACAAACCCATCAGGAAATCATTTTTTTCCTCGTACTCAGTGAGTGAAACTGGTCGGAGAACAGCCTGATGGCTGCTGGAGTTGGTGCAGAGTAGGTGAGGTGATGGACTGGCACAGCAGGAGGTGGGAGGGAGCTGTGGGCAAACAAATAAATGGCCTTTCCCCAAATTCCAGACCCACAACTGGGAACAGGCTGAGAATGGGATTCTGCAGTGAGCCCAGTGCTCGCTCCTGCTAACGGTGGTGCCAAGGGGCTGAGAAGCTGGAAGGTCTTAGGGGGGAAAAAGGGGACAATAACCATATATGCATTGCCATAGCCTGCTATCGAATTAATTACATCATTTAAAAAAACACCCCACAAAAGGAACAAAATCTGTTAGTGTGACCTGGATCAGAAGTCTGAATGCTGTGTGCCTCTCTCAGGGGGTTGTTTTTGTCTCCAGCATATAATTTGTTTGCTTAACTTTAGTTTGCCTCAAATTTAACAGGTTTAGACAGGAACGGCCATGCAAAAGCAGCAAACATTGTGAGTGAGCATCCACTCCCTGCTCATTTGAGGGCTGGGAATGCTGTAGCTCAGGTTTCTACTTGTTCTAATGATGCTCTCTCACAACTTCTGTGGTTTGTATAGTGAGGCCCTTGGCCAGAAAAACAAGGAAGTGGATCCTTCGCGTGCCGGAAACATGAGCTCAGTTTCTCTGACCATTTCCTACTTTTTTCCCTTTGGAAATGAAAAGTACTGTGAGCACCAAACGTTTAAAATTTAATAATGGATTTTGTTTTCATGGCAGCCTCCACCTCCTGCAGCTTCTGATTCTCCGACCATTTCCCCTCAGTCCTCTGGCAGACCCAACGCAGGAAGCCATCAGCTTCCTCGCGGTTATATTCCAATTCCCGTCATCCACGAAAATATCCAACGGCAACCAGCACAAGTCTACCATCAGGCACAGAAGACGCACTACCCTGCCCAGCAGAGCGAGTTCCAAGCCCACCAACCCGTGTTTCACAAAATTCAACCAGAGGAGAGGGAGCCCAAGCCGACGCGAGCGCAGTCTCCCTTCAGAGTGGCTCAGAGAGGCGCATCCAGCCGCGAAAGTTCACCGGCCAGAGTCACCACCCAGATCCAGCCCCCAGCTCCCATCAGAGTGCAGACAGTTGTAGACAGACCCCAGGTATGTAGAATGGGGCAGGGAATTACCCTTGGCTCATACTACTAACAGGTAGATGAAAGCACCTAAAGCAGTCTCCGTTTCTGCATTTAAACAAATCGGGAGATACTGAGATAATGCACCAGCATCATGTTGCCTTCCCACCTATCAGGATGGTGGAGTCTTTGGATCACTGAAATATAATTCAACACACAATTTGATTTTCCTCTCGTCACAGCATAATTTGGTGTAATTACACTGAGGTCACGGATGTTGCATTATGTTTGTGAGAAGAAAATCAGGTCCGCGGGATTTGTGGCATCTGTGTAAATACACCTCACTGATGTCTCAGAACCACTTAGGGCAGCATCAGATGCACAAAGTAATTTTAGTTAAGAAGAAAGGATCAGCAAAATTTATTCTTCCTACATGAAGCATGCTCTTGCTCATAGAACATGTTGCTCATTGGACATTTTTTCCATATTAAAATTCTTACTACAGTGAAAGGCTACTGGGAATTTGACTACTGTGAGCATGTGGAAGGGGAAGCCTTGAAATCTCTCTTGAGAGATTTCACATTGAAAAGGACAGGAGCAGAATTAGGTTAATATTTTTGAAAATTCAGGTGCTAGGACAAAACAATGAAGACTTCCGATGTAATGGCATATTCCAGGTTATAATGCTAATTTATTTTTATGGGTGAGAATTTGAGCTCCCTCATCAATTTCCTCTCTGGAGAGATTTCACATTGGAAAGGACAGGAGCAGAATTAGGTTAATATTTTTGAAAATCCAGGTGCTAGGGCAAAACAATGAAGACTTCCAATGTAATGGCATATTCCAGGTTATAATGCTAATTTATTTTTATGGGTGAGAATTTGAGCTCCCTCATCAAATTTGATGTTTAATGGGTAAAGCAGTAAGAGATTGTCAGTCCAGGCCATTACTTATTTGGTTTAAATATAAATGTAGGTATTTTACTTCAGCCATCTAAGTCCAATGAGAGCTGGATCTAGTACCTTTCCAAAATAACTGTATGTGCACAAATTAGGAAAAGGAAAATGCAGATCTCATGAATTCCAGTTTTCTGCTAAGATTTAAAAATTAGTTTCAAGAGATTTCTGATTTGATAACGCTTCTATCTTTGTTAATCCCAGGGATTGTCTCTAATCGCTACAGTGTAATAAGATTGACACAGTAACCTCTGCATGTAAATAGTCTACAGAAGAAATCAGTATAAATAAGCAGTAGCAAAAAAGGGAATGTTATGAAAACATTAGGTGTTTGTAGGTCAGTAGGTGCTTGTAATCTGCAATAGCTTGAAAACAATAACTGAACTCTTCAGCACAGTGCTTTTTTTATCTAAAACGCGTAAAATTCAGCAATGCACAGGAAAGATTGATCATCTGGCATGTGCAAAAATTCCCCTTCTAGAAGTACAGAAAATTGGATGTTAGGTTACTTGTTCTTTAGAAGGAAATAAGGAGCATTGTTCATTGTATCTCAACACAGACTTGCCTTGCTCACCAGGTTTCTCAGCAACAAGTCCCACCTCAAGAGCCACCAAGACCACCACCTCCTCCTGAAATCAAACCTGAGAACAAGGTAGTCCCACCACCTGAAACCGAGGCGCCATCACCGTATATCCCAATTCAGGTCACCCACCAAGAGCCCGAACCTAAACTACCACCCCAGAAGCCTCCACCCATGGCAGAGAAAGCTGACAAAAAGGTTCCCTGCCCAGCTAAGGTTGTTCCCCCACAGGAAAGGCCTCCTCCTGAAGAAGCGGCCACACCGAAGACAATGGAAACGGGAGAACCTCAAAAGCATCCTGGTGTTTTGAAAGTGGAGGCGATTCTGGAGAAAGTACAAATGCTTGAGCAGGCAGTCGACTCCTTTGAAGGCAAGAAAACTGACAAAAAATACTTGATGATTGAAGAGTATTTGACCAAAGAGCTGCTAGCCCTAGACTCAGTGGACCCTGAGGGTCGTGCGGATGTGCGCCAGGCCAGGAGAGATGGTGTAAGGAAGGTCCAGAACATTTTGGAAAGACTTGAACAGAAAGCAGAAGATGTCCCAGAACCAGTTCAAGTTGATGGACTTCAGCCAAATTTGCCAGAGCCAAAGCCACCACAGGAAATCATGGAGATTGAGCCTGTGGTAGTCAAGAGCAAGGGAGATACCAGTAATAAAGATGCTAAAGAGGAAACCAAAATGGAGAGACATCAGCCTGAAACCAAGGAAGAAGTGTTTACCAATCTCGCCACTACGACAAACACATCTAATAATCCAACTGAACCGTAGCCCCATGCTGAAATTAAAATCTCTCAGACTTTATAACTTAAAGTGTGATTAAGTGAATTTTAAGTTGCATGCATTTCCAGAGCTCTTTTCAACTGGTTTTTAATCAACATAGCAGCTTGGGACACAGTAAACACTTTGTGGGGGAAGGAGGGAGTTAGAAAGAAAGTAATGCATTTATCCTTTATTCTTACACTATGTAAAAAACATGTTTCAAAAATAAACCCTGTACATTAATCACTTCTAGATCAGCTGAATGGAAGAAAAACCAAACAAAACAAGCCAACTACTTCAGGATTAATATTGATGCGTGTTGTTTAGGGTGTATTCTTTTGCAGGTGATTTTTGTAAAATCAGTGGCCTGCATTGTCAGAATACCAGTCCTTCTATACGTGTAGCCACTCTTAACAGTAATGTTATTATTTTTAATGTTCACAGTTGGGCACTTTAAGTAATGATGGATAGAAAGTGTGTAAGAAACTGTAGGGATATTTATATGTGTGCAGGATTTCGATATTATATTTTAAGAGGGAAATAAAATAATATAGAAGCCTAATTTAGTCTTGTGATTTTATAAGCTGGAAATGTAAGAACAGTAATGGGTTTCAAACACACTCTTCTAAATATAAGAGATTTCTTTTAGTTACATCATTGTAGTTGAAATCTGACAGCTGGTTCCTCATCAAGACCAAAATGTGCCTTTCTCCATTGACTTACTCCCTTTTAATGTCATTGCTGTATCACATGTGTGGATTCAGGAAAGAATTTGGTTTAGGTTTTATTTCTCCCCACCCTCCTCCCCCCTTCCTCGCTCTGTCCTGGGAGTCACCATTTAACAAAAGTGTTTATAACATTATGAAATCCATATCTACTGCTGTTGTCTTATGGAAATTTACAGCATCTTAACTTGGTCTGTAAAGTCACTCTTTCACTAACAACTTCTGAATTTCCAGCCAAACAAACTTCGCATTCATGGAGCCAATATGATTAAGAGTTAGTCCTCTCGTTTGGGGAACAGTTTAAATAATGCTTCGTGGTTGTTTTAAGTAATTAGCAACTTACACTTAAGCAAGGGATATAAAACATACTTCAGCTACGTCCATGTGAAATAAAAGCAGCAGAGTCAGATTGGTGTGGAACGAGTCCTAACCAGTCTCCAGAAGCTGTTACCTTTGATGTGCATTTGTAAAATGAACAAAACTTTTTTACCTGAGAGCATTTGTTTACAGCATACGAGGAAAACTTTAATATAGCTGCTCAAGGCAGTTGGTTACTTATTGAATTACACTCTGAATCATGAGATTAGATTGGAAATCATGTTTAAACCCATCTGGAAACCTGCTTTTAAGAGGGAGGTTGAGAGCGGTCATCCAGCACTGTCACTGTTTTAAAATAACGATATGGCGTGTAAATTGAAATGCAGCAAGTGTTTTGAAATAACAATTGGACTGTGAACTGTCTGCTTAGTTGTAGGTAGAAGGTTGATGCTTCTTTTAGTTTCATTTTGATAGTCAACACCACCGTGTAAGAATACACAATGTCTTGTAACCGTTTGGCTACTGGAGCTTTTGGAGCAGCGTTGTGGGCATTCCAGCCAAAGAGGTGTGAAAGTTCACCCGCCTGCATAATTCTTGTATGAACTCACTTCAGTGACACATTCCTCCTGCAGGATTACATTTCAGCTGAGGACACACGTCCCTGACATCATACAACAAAAATACTTAAATTGAGGAAACTCGGCTATGGGTTCATACAATTAAGCTATAAGCAAGGTCTGTGGGAGGCATGAGGCCTTATCTCTCTCTGGTTTCTCTTAGTACCCCGCTGAAGTAATTCAGATCAAAACCACCTCATTAGCTAGGATGGCAATGTGTAAATTCAGATTACAGTCATAAAAACATAGTCTTTACAGGAAGTTAAGCAGGTGCTATCCTTTTAAAACATCATCTGCTGCTCATGGAGCCTGATTCATGTTCTACTATTCAATGTTGGTCAGAGAAGGTGGAGTCAAATTTAATTACATCTTTTTTTTTTTTTTTTTTTTAAAGAAGCAAAGCTAGAGGTGAGGTTACATTCTGCTAAGGGGTACTTTAAAATTTGATTATTAAAGTCAGTGATACTACTGCGGAATTAGGTACCACTCAAAATGAAGCAAGGTTTCATGATCTGGCCTAATAAGGGAAAGTGTATTTGGCTGCCCCGGAGCTGGAAGAGCGTTGCTCTGAGTCATAGTCTCTCTTTGTTTCCTCTTGCTCAAGATTAAACTACACCCAGTCCAGCATATATGTCTTGACACATCAGCGTAGCTACAAGTTCTGCTTATGGGCTGGGAGGAGGGAGTAGCAAAAGAGGAAGCAGATGAAGATTCCCACCCATTCCCTGTTGAGCTGCTGACCCACTCTTTGCAGAGCCTGCTGGATTCCTTGCCTTGGTACCAGTGATGTGGGCAGCTGGCAGAGGAGAGGACAAACATCCTTCATTTAACTTGCATTTCTGCAGCAGGGTACTAGGTCTGTGGCTTGGCCCTGGGTAACCACCTGTGGTAACTTGGCTTTGAAACTCTGGTAGAAAGTAATTAGGGTTTTAATACTAGCGATAAGAATGACATTACGTCGCCCTGCTTTTCAAAAACAGACACGTAAAACCAAGAGCAAATGTGCCGTGGAATGCAAGGTGGTCAAATACACCCACTGCCGTGGCTGTAGCCATTTTCAAAAATGAAAATACCCCAAAGATTTTCAATAAGAAAAAAATAATAAAGGTGCCTGTTAATAATTTTGAGTCACTGATGTCAAGCATGTAAGTTATTCAAGAAGCAAATAATCCCCAAGTCAGCAAACTACACTGTTTCAACTCATTTAAAAGTAGCAAGATGAATACAAAAAGCCTGTGCTCAGAATCACAGTAAAAGCTTAGGCTATTTTCTGATTGCACTATCTTGTCCAGCTAGTGATATTTTAAATGCCAGTAGTGGCCTGTTCTCTATATTTAAACTATCACAGCAGCGAGGCATTGTGTTTCCTACAAATATAGCATTTTGACTATTTACACAGGGCCAAATCATACCATACCCTGAGGAAGGGGCAGCAGATAGTTAGGTTGTCCCCAAGAGCACGCTGAGACACAACTGTGGCACTCCCTGGTGTCCATGAGAAAAAAAATAAAGGTGCCTGTTACTAATTTTGAGTCAATGATGTCAAGCATGTAAGTTATTCAAGAAGCAAGAAAAAAATAATAAAGGTGCCTGTTAATAATTTTGAGTCACTGATGTCAAGCATGTAAGTTATTCAAGAAGCAAATAATCCCCAAGTCAGCAAACTACACTGTTTCAACTCATTTAAAAGTAGCAAGATGAATACAAAAAGCCTGTGCTCAGAATCACAGTAAAAGCTTAGGCTATTTTCTGATTGCACTATCTTGTCCAGCTAGTGATATTTTAAATGCCAGTAGTGGCCTGTTCTCTATATTTAAACTATCACAGCAGCGAGGCATTGTGTTTCCTACAAATATAGCATTTTGACTATTTACACAGGGCCAAATCATACCATACCCTGAGGAAGGGGCAGCAGATAGTTAGGTTGTCCCCAAGAGCACGCTGAGACACAACTGTGGCACTCCCTGGTGTCCAATTCCTCCCCTTCTCCAGGAGGACGTACAAGCCTTTCATCTGGGACATGTTTTACTTCCAACTTCATGTTAGATTCCTCCCCTTCTCCGGGAGGACGTACAAGCCTTTTATCTGGGACATGTTTTGGGACATGTTTTACTTCCAACTTCATGTTAGCTCAGCTGTGTTTGCAGACAGGTTGGGGAAGGAAAGGAGAACAAGTGAAACTCCACCCAGGAGGCAGGAAAGCAACACAGCAGGGTTTGTGGAGACAGGTCATTCCCCTGCTCTCCAGTAGCAATGTCAGCCAGCCCAGGAAAGCCCTGCTCCCAGTATCCTCAGTGAGGCTATCATGTGTCACTTCTTACTTTTTAAAATGATAGTTGAAATAATAATAAAAAGCTTCTGGTGGCTGACATTGCTGCTGAAGAGGACAAAAGTTGATCAAGGTAGGTATATGAGATTTGCTAGGTTTTCAATCTCCCTCCTTATATATACATGTTATCTTTTTAAATATGCACGTAACCAAATAAAAGACACTACTGCATCACAGACTTAAGTAAGACATACACAAACATAAGGGTAGAATGGGCTTAGACTAAAGGACTAGTTATGGGCAGTAACTTCTGAGCTTTTGGTCCTGTTGAGTCCAAGCAGGACTCCAAGAAATGCAGATGTCTGATGAAACAAAAATCTAAATCATTAGCTGTTAGCATTTAATATCGGATCAATCTTTGGTTTTGTTAAAACAGCTAATATTGATCAAGAACATAGCGTTTCTTACAGAAACACATCCGGCTCTTTGGAGCCACTTGGGTGACTAGGAAAAGCTGATCTGAGCTCTGTAGCACTGGCTGAAGCCATACAGGTTGAAGCCATAAGTTAACCATTCAAAATATGATTTCCTGGAGCCTCAACTTAAATATTAAGAGTCAAATTCCAAATTTCTCTGGATATACAGTATTGTCATTAATGAAATATGAACACAATCATTTTAGCAATAGATATAGTGGTCTTACTGGTACTTTCACCTTCTATGTATGTGGGCAGGGGTATCTCATAATGGCACCCAGGACACTCAAATGAACTAGTCTGTGTATTTTTCTCTTAAGACAAAGCATTTGCTTAAAGATAAATGGAGGACACTAAGATACATTAGTGTTGCTGCACAAAGAAAGAGCCTTTTATACTGGATAATTTGGACTTTCTAGCTCCACACAAACAACGCACAGTATTGTACATGGATGGGGTCAGTCTACACTCCCGTGAACCACCGTGTGAATGTGAACAGCCTGTCCGCTCCGCGTAATCCTAGATACAAATGTAATCATACACCAGGCAATGTAACCCAAAGCAAGAGTTATTTTAAGATATGCAAGAAGCTGGTTACAAAGCAGTGGAATGTATCAATTCTCAGTCAAATACCTCTCCAGAATTTATAAATGGGCAACTTTAAAGAGGGTAAAAATTCGAGGCTAGTTCAGCGGCTGCCTACCAGAATTTTCACCACTGTCTCCAGAAGCTGGGAATCTGCACAGAAGGAAGAGGTCCAGCCTTCAGTTTCCATATGCCCCTGCACTAGCAAACTGTGGGGCAAGTGGAAGTAGAGTATCACAGGTTAAATTTCAGATTATAGGGGCATTTGCCACGCCTGGTTCAGGGAAGAATGCCAAAGGGCACCAATCTGTAAAGATACGCTTCACATTTCAGAGTTAAACATGGAATTCAGAGTTCTTCATCTCTGGTCCTTTACATTTGATGTCTATACAAGCACTGCACAGTATTCTGTGGCGTGTTCCTCAACAAATACAGAAATCACTGTGAGAATTTACACTAATTGATAACGTTGTTGGAAGTCTCGGTAAAAAGGCTGGAGACCGAACAGATGTGAAAATAAGCAGCTTCTCTGAATGAGAAATGGTACCTTTTCTAGGAATGAGATGAGCAGG